AACGAAGAGACGAAACAAGTCTTTTTGAAACTATTTGAATCTTCTGTTGTTGAGAAGGATATTAGTAAATCTATTCAACGATATCAATTCGCATTACAGCAGGCAAAACAGAAACTCGACTTGGCTCTTGCACTCGGATGTTGGTTGAGTCCTTCATATCTTTTAATAAACACTTCATCGATTGCCGGGTACAATAATAAATTACAAAAAGCTACAGCTGATATGAAATTAGGTGTTAATAATATTAACCAAGAAGTTATTACTGTAAAACATAATCTTGGGCCTAGTTATAAACACAACAAGAAGGAACAGCCGGCAAAGCCGATACAGAAAAAGCCTGTAAAATCGCCTACTCAAAAGSCTAAAAARYSCYCTATTYTGGCATTAAAACACTCAAACAATCTAGCCGCTGTTACTATCGGCGCGGCTGGTTTAGGTTGGTATATGTTTAGATAATTCGTTATTATATATGGATTGTGACTGCCAAATGGTTTATGATGAATTTGAAATGGTTTGTTATTCATGCGGTAAAATAGAACCGGCTTGCCCTACTATTATTCATGATGATGAATTATTATTAAAACAAGAAGGTCTATCATTTAAGCCTGCCAAATTTAACCCTTCGAAACACTTTAAAGAATGGATTGATTTAATTCTCGGCAGAGAAACTTTTTTACCTACTAATGTTTTAGAAGCTTGTGCGAATGATAAAACCGTAGAAGATATTARAAATAGTTTAAAAGAAATAAAGCGAGCTGATCTGAATAAGTTCTCTTCTCATATTTACTATGGGGTAACAGGTAAGGAAATACCAAAGGTTTCTGAAGAAAATATAATTAGAGCACAATATATCTTTATAAGGGTTATTGACGCCAGAAAACAAATCGACGAGTTGATTCATAAAAATATGATTTATTATCCGTATTACATTTTCAAAATATTTGAACTTCTGGGTGAGATTGATATATTGAAATTCATACACTTACAAAATCCAAAAACTCTAAAAAAGAACGACGCCGAGTGGCGTTTAATATGCGAACAGATGAATTTAGATTAYAAAAAGACCGAGTCTTATGTATAAGACTGATGACTTCGGTCACGGATGAATTTGAACTATAAACAAACTAAAAATAGAAACACGTCACAATGTCTTATGTATAAGACTGATGAATTTGAATTATAAACAGACCGTAGAAACACGTCACAATGTCTTATGTATAAGACTGATGACTTCGGTCACGCAATATTAAGAGAATATTTTATATATATAATGGGTGACGAGCAAGAGAAAACTAAATTATCAGATTCTGAAAAACAAGAAATAGAAGAAATAGTTCAAGAAATAATGGAAGCAGATAGAAGATTACTTGCTGAAGAATTAGTAGATGCAACAGCTAAATTTATAGTCTTTACTGCTAAAGTCGCATTGAGCTATTGTATTATTAGAAAATTTATGAATTAGAAATTCAAACCCATCGTAACTTTTAAATGCGTCGGTAGCTAGCCTAACTGGCTTTTCTTTTTTTGAAATATACGCGAACAGTTATTAAAATAGACGCTCTAATATTAACTCCCATAGTAGTAGTAATTTTGACCTAAAATCGCGTTTTTTAACCAAAAATCGAGTGGCTAGCCGTGTGGGCGGATTAACCAAAAATCGGGTGGCTAGCCGTTTGGGCGGATTTAAAAAAATCGCCAGAATCGGCCTATTACCACTACTAGGGCATACATATATAAAATGTATCATTCCTTATCTCGCAGTAAATAAACGATGACTAATAAGAAGAAGAGAATATGTGTGATTGGAGCTGGACCAAGCGGGATGTCAGTCTTATATCATTATAATAAACTAAAACAACAAGGAAAAGCCGCCTCTCAGATTGTGTGCTACGATAAACAGTCTGACTGGGGTGGTCTCTGGTTGTACTCCTGGGAGACTGGTAAGAAGTTACTGCGATGCCATCTCTTGCATAAGAATTTAATTGTTGGCCTTTTATTTGTTTTTATGTAGGTTTTGATCAATATGGCGAACCCGTGCACGGTAGTATGTATAGAGGTCTGTGGTCCAACGGACCGAAAGAGTGCGTGGAATACCCAGACTATACATTTGAAGATCATTTTAAAAGGGCTATTCCGTCTTATCCTCCTAGAGAAGTTTTGTTTGACTACTTGAAAGGTAAAGTCTTCGTGAGTTTTTTTTTTTTAATCACTGTAGTTTTCTCGATTATGTGCCATTATATTGTACCAGCTAAGTACGTTTCGATAGCATTCAAGATTCAACACTCTGAGGGGTTATATATGATTACTAGAGGTTATAATATAGCTATAATAGTACGCGTGATGTGATCGGACGAGAACATTTGAAATCCATGCTCTCTTTCACCGATAGATCTACGCTCGCTTCTGGCGGAGTATGCAAGGAAGTCAAATTTTCTTACCAATTATTTTAATTCACAATAATTTCTTGTTTTTTTTAATATTATTATAAAAATAAAAATAATTCTTAATTGAAAATATCTCTAAAATGTAAATTTGAAATATTCAAATATTTCTTCATTTTTTCTACAAATGTGATATAATTCAAAAATGTCTATAATTAATAAAAATATTCAAAAATATAAGGAAGAAGAAAAAGGCTCAAAATCTAATTTCGTATTTGAATTTTTCTTTCTTTGAATTTTCAATCATTTTTTTAATCAATAAATATAAAACGAATAACATATATTTTTTTTTTGCTTTCCTAAGTTTGAGGTTTAAGCATTTTTAAGTGTAGAAAAGTTCATCCCGTTTGTTAATGACTCGGATTTGCTACTACACATTGCAATGACAATCCATCATGTACAATAAAAAAATCAGACGAAAATTGTTTTAACAATTTAAAAATTAATAAAATTTAAAAATTAATGAATTAATTAATTAAAAGACACTCAACAAATGGAAGTATATATCTGTAAGATTTAACACCAGAAAATTGCGAAATTGAAAATGATCAATATACAGCCACCCAACCATATCCTTCCATGAATTTGCATACTACCAGCTCAAGAAATCTCCCAGGGGAAGCCACCGAAAGGTTCGATAACAATACCTATACTCTGCACAACCGCCTGAATCGTACTAACACACAAACAAACCTTCAAGTGACGCAAGAAAAGATGAAGTTTAAAATACAAGCTAATCTACCTGAGTATGTTGTGATACCATCAGAATTACCAGCAGACAAAATGTGGGGGGAAATTAGTTTTAAGGCTCTCAAAGACAACATCGAAGATATCTACGATCGAATAGTTTCTTTTAAAAAAAAAATTATTCAGTGTACCTTCTGGTGAAGCCGGCAAGAGCTATATCACAGAATTGACATTCTGGTTGAAACAGTTCAACGCAGCAAATTCCGCTCTAAACGCAGTTGCTTTAAAAGCCTTCATGGGGCTGCCATCACTTATCTTGCAAAAAACATCTGCCAAGTCAAAGAGCAAAGACCACTATGGTGGCCCATGGCTGCCACTACATTTTTACCTCTTGTTAAATTTTTGTTTGATTTCCATTATTTTTTCATTATTGAAATGAAAAGAAAAAGAAAAACAAATTCAGTTTGAGAAAAAAAAATCAAAAGTAAATGAAAATACAATCAAAAGTAAAAGGAAAAGCAAAACGAAATAAAAAGCAAAATGAAAAATGAAATAAAAATCAAAGTGAAATGAAAATTAAAAGTTAAATAAAGTTAATAAAAATCAAAAGTAAAATCAAAAGTAAAATCAAAAGTAAAATCAAAAGTAAAATCAAAAGTAAAATCAAAAGTAAAATCAAAAGTAAAATCAAAAGTAAAATCAAAAGTAAAATTAAAAGTAAAATCAAAAGTAAAATCAAAAGTAAATAAAAAGTAAAACAAAATTGGAAGTTTAAATAAAAAATCAAATCGAAATTAAATTAAAATTGCAATCAAAAATCAAATCAAAAGTAAAATCAAAAGTAAAATCAAAACCAAATCAAAAGTAAAATCAAAAGTAAAATCAAAAGAAATCAAAACCAAATCAAAAGTAAAATCAAGGTAAAATCAAAAGTAAAATCAAAAGTAAAATCAAAAGTAAAATCAAAAGTAAAATCAAAAGTAAAATCAAAAGTAAAATCAAAAGTAAAATCAAAAGATCTGAAGATGAGTTGAACAAAATGGCAACGAAACCTAGTTAGCAAAACAATGCCCTATACTAGGTGAGCTGAAAAGACCAAGGAACCAAAACAATGATACAACACAGCACACAGAGAAAAGCTACCGATTATTTATCGAATATTAATGTTCGAAGGTAAAATGTGGACCTTCGCTGTGTTGGTACACGAACTCGCACCGCGCTTATATTTGGGAACCCTGTGCTGGACCATGAAAAATAGACTCGACGGTTCGCTGTTTCTCTTATCTATAGTACGCTCACATTCCTTTATTATTAACGTTAAATTGCTTATCTTAGGTCGTTGGTCGCAAAGCGATCTCCGTCAATGGATCAAATTCAACCATGTTGTCCGCCATGTCACCTACAATGATGACACTGATGACTTCTCAGTTGTGGTTAGAAATATGCCAGAGGACAAAGACCTCCCAACTCAGAGATTTGACTACGTCATCGTGGCTTGTGGTCACTACTCTGTGCCTAACATACCATACTTCGAGGGCATTGATCAATTTCCAGGTAGACTCATTCACTCCCATGACTTTAGAAATGCATCTCAGTACAAAGATAATGTGGTGTTAGTTCTTGGATCAAAGTCCTCAGCAGAAGACATGGCAACACAAATTATCAAATATGGTGCTAAGAAGGTCTTCATTAGCTACAGAACGATGCCAATGGGATTCAAATGGCCTCCAGAGATTGAAGAAAGACCACTTGTTACCAGTATCCAAGGCAACACTGTCCACTTCAAAGATGGCAGTAGTGCAGWGGTTGACTCCATCATCCTATGCACTGGGTACMTTCACAAATTTCCTTTTATGGAAGAACGTCTTTGTCTGAAAACAAAGAATGTTTTGTATCCTCCAGGCTTGTACAAAGGTATTCTATGGTGCCATGGTGGTAATAACAAGGTCATGTATATTGGCATGCAGAAGCAGGTATATACCTTTACTATGTTTGATGCACAAGCAAAATGGATAATGAGTTACATCAGTGGTGATCTCAAACTCCCTGATAGAAAGCTTATGTGGAAAGATATCAACACTTGGACGGAAAGGTAACCAGCTCATTTATAGCTCTGAACTGGAAATAATAGAACTTAAAGTTATACATTGCTTAGAGGAGGTTATTCAGGACGAAAGACGCATGGAAATAAATTCGGAAAAATAGAATCATTTCCGACTAGGCTGGGATTCAAACCCACGACCCTAGGATTTACTACCGATTTACTACTTGCTGAGCTACATGGCCAGACTCGCGGAGCAGGTCAGAGTGCAATGATAGCTCTGTTTTACCTGGATAAAACGTTTTAGCTAAAATAGCATTACTGTTTTTAATCCACTCTCATAGATTTGCATTCTGATTGGTTTTTGAATTATTGTCTTTTCATTAGAGACGGTCGCATACGATAGACAGTGGAAAAACGACGAGAAATTATAAGTGTTCTTAAAGCTTTCCACCTTTAATTGTTTCTTGAAGTTACCGATAATAACCGTAGATCGACACATGATTTTCAACAGGTATTTACCCATTAAATTCCCTAGTCTATTATAATTGATGTTTAATAAATCCATTGTTTTAGAATGAACGGATTGAAGACAGACAAGAAGGAGGCAGTCATGYTCCAGACTGATTACATATGTGATGTTGGAGAAGATTGCAAGTATGGCTACGATATTGGAGTAAATGATTTATTMTTTGAATGGAATCACAACAAAAAAGTCGACATCCTGACATACAGAGATAAGAGCCATGTTAGTAAATTCACTGGAGTCAAGTCCATCACCCACCACACTGCGTTCATGGAAGCTTTCGATGACTCACTGGAAACATTCGTCAAAAACCAGGATCCGGAAAATTTGAGTTGCCATTAACAACACATATAAATGAATAATTAACAAAGTAATTTTAAATATTGCAAATGACTTAGGATTTAAGATTTCTCTGTACGTAGGATTCATATTCGATTACACACTGCTTGTTAAAACATTTGAAAAGAGTGATACTCAAATAAAAAAATCGTGTCTTGCCGAGTCGTGTTTTTGTTGATGATGATGTTGTTTAGAATTGTTTTGTATATAGGCATTTGTTTATTGATAAACATAATATGATGATATTGTTTAACATGATCCCGGGCACGGGTCATATGTGAGTTTGAGTTTGTTTGATGTGTTGTTCTCTACCTTGCCGCGAGAGTTTTTCTCCGGGTCCTCCGATTTTCCTCCCTCGGCAAAAATCAACATGTGAGGAGTGTTATGTGCTAAAATACTTAATGTAGAGGTAGTGAGTGTGAGAGTATAGAGGRCCACAARTTCATCAGTTCTTTACTGGCACGTGTTTACCCTCTTAAAACAAAGTTGATTGATTTGATTGATTTGATTTATGATGCTGGTGATAGTGATATTGTCTATGGTGATGATGATAATGATGATGTTGCTTTTGTTGTTGAGGTTTGTTGTTGATAGGGTATTACGGTTGATTTTTTTTTGTTTTTTTGTTTTGTTTTTTTTTTCTCTTTTTTTTTTGGTGAAGATGATATTGTTTATGTTGCTGGTGAAGATGATGTTTTCGGTAATTATGATGATGATAATTATGATGTTCCTTTTGTTCTTGTTAATAATATAATATAATAATATGTGGTATTTATATAGCGCCTGAGTTCACAGGCGCTTCACATGTATAGATCATTTCACACGTACCGCTGTTTAAGGCGCAATTGGCAGCCACGCGGCTTACAATCATGAGGGGTTAGTTATTAGTATGGGTTAGTAGTAAGGCCTAGCCACACACACCGGGAATCATTCCYTACTCTTATGCGAACAGTGGTGTGGGTTCTTTAACGTCCCTCTAATACAGGTTAGTGAGTGAAGTGTAGAGAGACGGGACCTCCGATTTTACGTCGTTATCCGAGAGGACGCGAAGATCTTACCGTTTGCAGATGGAGAAAGACAAAGGCAGCAACTTCTCCTCAATTATTTTAAGACCCTGTTGTTCTTGTTATTGACGTTGTTTGTTGTCGGTAGGGTGGTACTGTTTTATTTTTTATTTTTCCTTTTTTACATGGTCTTCCTGTGGAAACTCATGTTTTAATATACCTCTTCTTCAATCAATCTATCTATCAACGTTGTGTATAGTCCCCCATGATGCTTTGCGAATTGAACCACAGGGATCCCAAAAGAATAGTTGTCACATGGTCGATCGAACTACGAACGATGCAGATGTCGAAAAAAATTACGTGCTAAGAGGCGTACATTTCGAACGGGTCGTTTCAAGATTTATCTAACTGACCCGTTTTTTACTAGTTCCACGTTCCAAATATCACTCCGAGCTACCTACAAACTAACGAAACGTTAATAACTGACATAAAAACTGACTCTATCAATGCTGCATGAAGACATCTGATGCTATGGAATTCAATAATCTTCATGAGCAAGGAATTTACGGTGAATTTAAGGCGAATTGAATAAGAAATCCGCCATTGGATTTATATTTCGATATTCCATGTCGTCAATAGTTCAGTTTAGTAAATCAATACTTTCAATTATTTCTTCTATTGACAATTTTAATCTTTTTATGTGTTTTGATTATTGTATTCAGTTCTTATATATCAAAAAATGATTTAATAACATTCTTATGGTCAAAGAATCATTGCACTTCGTTTCCAACGTTGATCGGTGTAAATATTGTCGAAAACTTTTCGTATAAACTTACTAACTGCTAACTGTTGATGTCTGTAATGTAAACATTTATAAAATTGGTACTTTTAAAACTGGTACTTTGCAGCTAGATGTTTTTGAGATGGCGTAGCACACATGCCGTCCAGGCGTAAATAACATTGTTACAGGAAGCCCATGTAAACGCTTTTGAGCGTCTATTCTTTCTATGTTGTGTTTGTGTTACAGTCACAAACGTTGACCCAAGTTAAAATACACGAGTGACACCATTGTAATGACTTAAAAGTTGAGTGGAACTGGCATTGGACGTCATGTTTACGGGAATAAGTTGTTATATTATTGTTGCCGCTAGTGTAACGCGTGTTTTGAAAAACTCTAACTTATTTGAAATTATTAACAATCTATAATTATAGATACAATAGTATAGACTAGTGAGCTAATAAAAATGGTTTTTGTAAGTGTGGAAGAATGTACAGTTATACTCTTGGTTTGTTTATACAGTTCTTCAGTCGCCTCTCTTGTGTGTTTGGCACCTCACTTCCGGCTTCTGCGAATCTGTGAACAAAGTCAACATAATGATGAACTGGAGGGTATCGATGCTTTGCTGGGCTGTCCTCTCATTAGTTTTAAACCCAGCATGCTTGACAATCTACACAACTTGACACAAGCTGATAGGGAAGTTATTTGTGGGGCTTTGTTCTACACAGTGAACTGGTTTATTGAGGTATGGTGGCTTTAGAAACTTGATTTAAAGCAATGGTTCGCAATTGTTACATTTTTTTGTAAGAACATAATTTGTTGATTTCCTACTAGTCAAGGTTTGGTCGTTTTCAGTCAATCACATGATTCAAAAGGCAAAAGAGGGGCGGCCATTTTGGTTTAAATGAACAACAAATACTTATGAGCAATCCTTTGTTTAGGTTAATACAAGATGACCACTGTGACGTATACTAAACCCGAAGAATATACAGAATGCGTACGAAACATGCAAATAATTGTACTGAAATAAAAAAAAATATCTAAGGAAAGCGCACGAGATTTCAAATGTTCCGCTGTAGGCCCATATATGTCCATATATTCTTCCCTGTCGTCACAATACTCGATAACAAGTTTTGAATCGTTCTAGTTTCTTCAAGGGATTTAGCAATTATGCTAAACGTATTTTAGGGTGATTGGGAGGATTCGGGCGATGATATGAACACAAGGCATTAGTGACCTTTAAACAAAGCAAAACATCTCGAAAAATAGTGAAGTACACGGTGTAGCTACTTAAAACCTCATCAGTAAAGGCTCCCACTTATAGGTCTGTAATATCCCATTCTTATTCTTCAGCTTATTAATGGATTTTCCACTCAAAGTGACCCTGAAATGCGGGGCAAGACACTGACGCGTCTCAACGATATCACATGCTTGTACAAAAATATAGAGACCGTGCTCACAGGTAACTTTAGATTATTGTTCCACTTGTAAAGTATCATATAATAAATTATTAACACTAACCCATGAAAACGTTTAGTACAGAGCTAAACTGTGCTGAGTTAGAGTGCGAGTCAAAAAAAGCGTGAAACTCTTATTTAAACCACAATTGTGTAAATTATCGCGCGCTGATTTGGCTGATTAGAGTGTGCCAATAGACTTCTGAGCCTTTTATGTCACTACGTGATTTCCAATGCATTATGGGATCAGTTTCTAGAGAAAACAAGAGAAACCCGGCATGTTCATATCTTACACTGCATCGCATATGCGGTACATGATGTAAAAGATTCTGAGGACTATAAGATGGCATGCAATGTGCAGATACCTTCACGTCTCCCGCGCGCCCTCAATTGAGAGGAAATAAGGATTTTTTTTCTAATTTGTAGACTTCAAATGTAATAAAAAACAAAACAAAAACAAAACAAATTGCTCACGGTTTTTCTTTGTATTTCCTCTTATTGACACAGTTTTGACGTCGGGAAATGCTCTAAACTTCGCAGCGAACCCACGAGCGCAGCTTGAGTTTTAAACATGTTACGAAGTGTGTCAATTTATTAACAAAGAACAACTAATAAGATTTAGTTATTAACTAACTAAGAATTTACTGTGGTCTGGTTAAAACCATTCTGTCATATCTATGACCAATTGAAAGTGTCTAATTTGTCGTTTATTGTTTAGCGACACCGACCTTTTCTCCGTCGCTGGCAACCTTTGACTGTGAAAGCCCAGCTCCCCTTCGACCACAACCCGCTACTAAAGGAAAGCGGCCAAGAAAGCAAGCTAAAGGGTAAGGTATTACTTTAAAGCGCCGTTTACACGAGCTTTTTTTCCTTGACAAGTTTCTTGATAAGGGAATATTGCCCGTGTAAATGGTCAACAAGTTTTCCTCGACAATTCTTCCTTGACAATGTTTCTTTGTTAGTGTAAACCAAGAACAAGTTTTCCTTGACAAGGAAAAATTAGCCGTGTGAATGGTCAACAAGTTCTCCTTGACAATGTTTCCTTGACACATTTTCCTTGTTGTCCATTTACACGAGCAAATTTCGTCCTTGGCAATTTTTCCTTGTCAAGAAAAAGCGAAAATGTTGGTTTTTCCCATTTTACCCTATTTACACGAGCAATTTTTCCTTGTCAAGGAAAACTTGTAAAGGAAAAATCGCTCGGTAAACGCCGCTTAATACTTACGGCGCTCGCACGAATCCGGATATTTGGACTTCCCAATGTTCTTACCTTCAACATACTTTTTTTTACTAGAACTCGACGTAGTGTGTGACGTGCAACTATTCAAATATGTAGGGGAGGGGGGAGGTAAGACACTTTAGGCGCAACACTTTTTGTTTGCACTGAACACATGAAACACTGAATTATTTTTGAAACAAAGAAAACAATTCAGAGGTCCACTGCTAACTTGTGACTCAAATTTTATCGGCTGAAACGATCACTGAATTGCTCTGGATGGTGCAAAGCGAAGGAAATCAGCCCGCGAACCCATACAAATAGCCAGTAGTATTTCTTGTTATAAAATTTTTGATATATAACGCGCGCTCTAATTGGCTGACGACCGTGTTTATATCAGAGGACAGAGACACGGCTTACCGGCAGAATTTTCTTTTCGCTCGAAAAATTTATAAAAGAAATATAAAACGGCCGCTTGTGTCTCTGTCCTCTGATATAAACACGGTGTGAGTTGAAAAACACTCGAGAAGCAAGAGAAACACTCGCTACGCTCGTGTTCCTAAGCTTGCTTTCTTTCGTGTTTTTCGAACTCCAACCGTGTTTATATCAGAGGACAGGGACACGCGCGCCGTTTTATATTTCTTAAGTATAACATGTACAATCGGTCAGCAGCGTACGAGCAAATACCACTCAATGTGCTAGGGGTCTATCAAAGCTCATCATTGACTTAATTGTTATAAATTTCTAGCCTGCATGAAGGTTGGTGGAGGGATAAAGCAAAGGGAAGGGTTGGATAAGAAGTTTCTTTTAAAAAGAAAATTTAAGGCAGTATGAATTAATGAATTCAATTACCTAGTAATGTTTCATTAATCAGTAGTTTGGCTTTAATGAATCAAATATTCAGTTACAATTTACTCGGTGCACAGTTCGTTTAACGAGCCTAAACAGTCAACTGTGACTATGCCTCCTGCACCGTTTACTTTCTTTGTTACAATAGTTGGCAAGAATCTCATGTACAGCGTCTTTGTCCTTCTTGCACGAGTGAGTAGAAGGATGTGGTGTTTATGCGCAGCGGTCTTTGAACATCGTCTCCAGAAAGATTGAGATCGTCTTGTAATGCTTCAGAAAAAAAAAAATGTTGGTCATATCATCGGTTCACTGTATCAAACATTCAGTCCATTTGATTCTTAAAACTGCGCGCTAAATCTTTTTTTCCCGCGATATGCACGCTTGTCTTTCCTTAGTTTTTCGACTGGAAGTTTCTTTGTTTAATATTATTATTATTAGTTTTTTAATTAGTATTTATTGGTATTAAAAAAATATGTTTTATTTTTGGACGGTTTACCTTTTTATCAAAGGCTGCATCGCTGCTCCAATTTTTGCCTTCATGCGGCAGACTGTGTATATACCAACATACATGAGCACAACCACCATGTTATAAGCCATATCATGTTTACTAAATATGGCATTCCTATAGATAACAGCACAATCCACTATGATTCTCATCATTTTTGAGAAAATGGCGCTCGTTAATAAACACCAAGTAACTTCTGCTCCTGTTTTCACAAGATCCATTCTCGATGCTTCCCAGAATGTCTCTCTGCCATACGGAGATGTGAACGTGACGTCACTACTTGGGTCAAGTAATTCCGATATTTTCAAAATTGCCATTGCAATGTTATACATGAACCACGTGATTATTAATTGTATTACTGTGATGACGTCATCGAACCACGTGGCTATGTCATTAAAGTATTGTGTAATTTCGTTGATGTGGTCTTCTGGGATGTGTGATGCAGCGTATACCTTAAGTGATACCGTTATGTATGACATCGCTGATTTGTACAGAATTATTAAGTCTCTTATATTTGTAAGAATCCAAGTGAACAAGGTTTTGCTTACTGATAGCATATCACCAGCTATTCCCTTAAGTGCGTCGATAAAGTTTTTTTCTGAATATGATGAAACCAAGTTCTCTATTCGCGTCTTTTCTTCTGATAATCTTTGTAGTTGATCGAGTACGGAAGTCATGGCTGTTTCTTTCGCTTTTAGAAAAACAAAAATTACTCCATCCAGGAACATTGCAATTTTGGCCATTGCAGCTCTTGCGTAGAAAATTACACGTATTGCAAGCCTAGAGATTTTATAAAGCTGCATTTTGTACCAGGATGCAATGTCACAAAGAGCACTCCACAACCCTTTCTCATAGGCCAAAGCAATGTTGTCTTTAATTGAAGAGGATATCTTTTTTGTTGATGATTGAATATAATCGATAAACCTTCTGGCTGCTTGGGATGTCAGGTTCCATACACCGTTTTCATACGTTTTGGAGATACAAGTCTTGGTCCATACAGTCGCATGATGTACTTCATTGCATACGTTTATTGCCGCCTGAAGCGTTACTTCCATGCATTCCTTAAATGCGAATAAGAGTTTAGATGTCTGCTTCCAAGCTGTGATCATTGGTCTAAATGATCGGCGGATCCTTTCCAAATCTTTAGCTGTATCGATGCTTGCATTACTGCTAGTTGGTATATTTTCATTTGTTCCACACACAGTTTTTCTTTCGGCTGCGTTGGCAGTCAAGTACTTCTTGCACACTTCGAGACTACCAAATGTTTCATTCTCATGCTGGTGTTTCAGTACATAGCTGTTGTAGATATGACCCTCTGAGCAAGTAAAAAGAAAAAGAATTGATTCGATGAACGAATGTTTTCGAGTCAAAAGTGCTATTATTAATCCGAATACGTTTCAAACTAAGCAACTATATTAATTTTAGTACACGCTTTCTTGTTCTTGTATCCGTGTTTTGATTGCTCCAAACTTTATCAAGTTTGTGACTAATGGCCGGTCCCTTTGAATCGCCAATTTGCAGATAAAAGTCCCCACGTATACTCGTATTCGTCTTTCGTTTTCGTTTTCAGACATTTAAATGGTCAAGTGCATCCGAGCACCTTTGCTTGTTGTCCAATGAGAAGGATGCGTGGACGCGACACGTAATCGTAGCTAAAAAAAATCCGGGCTTAATAAGTAACCGAAAAATGAAGATTAAACCGAATTGGATGGAATGGATAAACAAGAAAATTCCGTATAAGATAATCCATTTGTCTTATTTCTTTGAAGAAATTGATGGTTGATCGGTTAAATAGAAAATTTGATAACATTATGACCCTGATGAATGCAAAAAATAAATAAATAACAACAACAACAACAACAAAAAAAAAAAACAAACAAACAAAAAAAAACACACAACTGACCTTCAACTACGAATACTTCTAGTGTAATCGAAGCTTTGCCTTTCCTGTCTTGCCTTGCGCACATGTAGTATCCATCGTCCGTCCAGTTGATATCATGAATCGTAAAGACTTGGCCTACAACTTCGACATTGCTGCGGCTAGTGATTTCACCAAACGACTCGTGAAGAGATCGAGAAAAATACAGTGCTGTCTTGAGAGTTTTATTATCTGTACGGCAGTCAACAAGAATTGAAGATCCAGGGCAGAGAACAGCTACTGATTGTGGTGTCAGAAAGTCATTCGACTTTTTTTGTAAATAAGCTAAAAATGCAACAATCAAAATTTGTTATTTGTTGTTGTTGTTGTTGTTGTTGTTTTTCTTGTTCATTTTATTTTCTATTTGTTTGTATGTTGTTTTTTTTTTTTTTGTTGTTTTTTTCTGTTCATGTCTTTTTGTTTATTAATTTTATCGTATATCTATAAAATAAAAATAAAGAAAAGAAAAACAAGCGAATTTAAGACCGAAAGTTACCGTTCGTGCGTTGCAAGTGTGCGCGCTTTGCATTTTGTGTCGTTTGAAAATAGAAAACAACTCTTTTTACTGATGATAGATAATACGATTCTGATAATACGATTCTAATAATCCTAAAACTGGGATTTGAAAAAGATTCAAAATGGAAGACTGTCTTTTACTTTCCCGCTTTATTTCAATTTTGTAATGTCAGTTTTGTTTTGTTTCTCTTTTCTCAATTCCGCTTTCCGTTTCTTTGCTTTTATTTTTTTTTCCATTTGATTGATTGTTTTAACGTTTTTTTACTAGATATGGCAAACTAATTTGTATTCTGAAACAGCCGTGTTGTATAATGTGTTTTATTTTTTTTTTCTGTCTTCAAGCGTGAAAAAATTCCACAATAAACGTTTTCGCAGAAGATATAATAAACTTTTTCCTTTACCTTCGTTCACTCTCGTCCTCTCAATTGGGATGGCGCAAGTGTTGGCAATAACGGCAATAAATGTCATTGCTATAATAGTGGAGCTTAGTTTCATCGCTAGACGCTCGTTTTCAGCGCCTTGTCGGCGCCCATTAAACATCCATCGAGCTTTTTTTCAAAGATGAAACGAACTCAAAATGACGTCATAATTATCATTGATGATGTAACGCGCGCGCTCTTTACTTCGCATTTTGGGTAATTAGAAATCGAATAATTACGGTTCATCACATGACTGAAAATCACAAATAGATGCTATTATCTTTGAAACTCATAATGCATTCTAAAGATGATATATGAATAAGTAACTTTCTAATTGTATCCCCATTTCCATCAACATAAGATTTTGCACTAGTTCGTCGTGCAGTCGTCGCGCCGAGCCAAATGATGTCGATACAAATGCGTTCACCCTTTGCCTTGCAGCGCGAGCGGCGTTGCCGTGAAAAGGTCTCGTTTCCTTTGACAAATTTTTATTCCGAGCTGTTCATCTTCCAAATTCAAACTTTTTGGTTTGTGGACTGCAGTGATAGCACAGTATCTGCTGTTTAGGTTTTTTCTTGTGTGTCGTGGTTTTAATAGCAAGATTTCTGTACGGCCTGAGCCGACTGCATTACATGTACCCCTACGCGACGGGCTCATGTTTTTTTACTGTAAATTCATCTAATTCTCTTTTGCTTTGTAGAAATGACACAAAGAAGCTTGATGAAACCATAGAAAAGGTAACTTCTTTTTTAGATTTAATTTAAGAAGCTGCTCATCTACATTATATTTGCATATCAAACAATTGCCTCAGAGAAAAATTCATTCGTCTGCCAAACTTTTGCTGACCATATATGGTAATCTTACCTTATAAGGAAGTACGTTAGAAGGTTTTTTTCAAGTTGTTTTCCACCTTTTAGTGCTTTAAAATGGCTAAAACTTACAGAATTTCCAGAGAAATCGCTTTTCAACATGTCGGCCATTATAGTTTTGTCCTAGTCCCCTCCCATCCTTGAAAATAAGGAATCCCACAAAAGACACAGGTAGCCCGCGCGAATGTCAGGCAGTTGTTTGATATGATTTACAGTCGCTCTGATCCCCTCTGGCGACCGTAATCCTTAGCGTTACACAATATAATGTTTTGATGTGACGTAACTATGCGATAAGGCAATTTACTCAAGCAACGCAGTGCATCTTCGTTTGTATTTCAAAGCTGTTGCCGAGTGCATATTTACGTGTGTTCAGTTTTATAAATTTTTTGAAGTCGATAGTGAATCAATAAAAAGACATACAACTCAAAACCGTGCGCAATTTGTTAATATTCTGGATTCCATTTTTTCTTGTTAGGTCGATAAGGAGAACGATAAAGAACTTGATGCGTCGAGCATAGCAGCGACTGCTGAGAAGACTGATAAACGTGCAAGTAAAGCTGATAAAGGGACATCGTTTACTATGGCACAATGCAGACCTTATCTCAGGTTAGTCTGCCTATTATAAAAAAGACAAAGAGTCGGTGAATAGCAGACTATTATTATGACTAACTGTATTCGAATCAATTGATACATTTTTTTTCCATTTTTTTTTTTTTCAGAGAACTTGATTTAAACGTGTTTAATCTTCTCAAATGTGGCTTTGTAACGCGATCTGTTCTCGACTCTGATATGAACACCGAGGTATGTAAGTTAAATTAATCTGATTGTCATAAATAATTATACGTTTAGACCTTAGTTTGTACATCGTATCTCATTGTAGGAGAAAACTATACTTCGTATTCAAGCGCCACACCTCTTCTTTCTCCTTGATGACTTGTCGAGAAAACTTAACCATTCATTATCAGCATCAGCCTCGTCTCGAAGGTCATTTCTAAAGGTACACGTATCCTTTTCTCGCTAGGTTGCTCTTTGTTTATTTTTGTGCACGAAATATTCTAAATTAATATTCACTAAAAGTTTGCAAATTTGTCATGTTTTTATTATATCAGGCACGTCACGACAAACAAGTAGGATTCTCCAACCTGTCGAGACACTCAGCAAGGGAGTTTGCTAAGTACATGGTAGACCTGCTGCCAACGTTGTGTGAACATCTTGAATCAACCAGCGCTTTCTTTCAGGTGCAAATTACTCTTTTCCTTGACTTTTCGCTGGTACATTCACTGTAGTCGTGTGTGATTACAACGTAGTACCACAGAGAATCCGAATTTCACAATTAGCGTGCTTATACAAAATCGTGCGCTTCTTCCGCATTTCTCATACATAAAGAAAACAAAACATGCAGGCTCTCAGTAGCTGAGCTGCCTATGGCAACGCGGAGCGAAGCAATCACACAACATGTCTGTAAATGATGTTTATTTTGTTTGGTTTGTTTAAACTTCAAAGAAAAACCGGAAACGGCTTAGTAGGGACATTTTGAGGACTTTCATTCCCATCGTGCTCTGGGGTTACAAGTTTTTGAGGTTGAATGAAGTGTTTTGATTTTGTATCAGACGATGCTTGTCGCTAACGATGGCATGGTAGATGGTCCTGGTAGTAACACAGAAGAAGCTTCAACAATGAGCCAATGTTATCATCTCCTCTTCAGCTGCTTTCAAACTCTGTTTTCATGGTATGTGACCACAAAATATGTTAGATAGCTGGGAATGTTCCGTGGCGTAGTACACTGGACGTTCCCATGCACTTGTGATTTTCTGTTGTTGGTGAATCATGGAATCTGCCAGCAGTTGTGTTTGTAGCAGCTGACGCTATTTTTTCGGGGGGGGGGGGGGGGGGGGGGGGAGGTGATTCAGTCATGAGGCACATTGCTCATCAATAGCAGCATTTCAAGGAATGCAAATATTGAGTGAAGCAGAGTGACTTAACCAACCATAGCATCATTTTTAGGAGATATAAAATATAGACAATACAAAATGTGTATATGTGCTTGTTTTTGTTCAAGGAATGGTTTTCTTGTGAGTAGTAACCTTGAATTGTACAAAAGAGCGTTAACTGTTCTCTCATCACGAACAAAGCTGTCATCGACTACACAAGCTGGACTGCAAGACTTGCTAAAGTACGTCATTGGTTCATTTGTTCTTTTTATGATGATTCTTACAAACAATTCCATTGAAGTTTCAGTGTGAAAAAAACTAAATAGACAAAGCTAAACAACAACAACAACAATAATACAATTTCACTGCACTTTGCTATATCAACCTTGATGTTTAATACAAACAATTTTAAACCGAGCTTTCGACCTACGCGGTTATCTTCACGGTTAAAATGAAGTTTTTCTGTTAGTTGTAACGAGATTCATTGTAAGATGACCGCATAGGTAGAATGCGCGGTTTTAATTTTTCGTATGAAACTTCAAAGTTGATGTAGCAAAGTCTTTTATGAAGTTAAATCGAACCTACAAACACCCCTTTAAACAATAACAAAATATTTCCTGTCTTATCAGACAATCCTTTCATTACCTGGAACAGTTCGCAAGCACCATTACCGACATGGCTACCGCATTAACACTAACTAAGCTGCTTGTAGTTATAAGTGAAAGAGCTGACAATAATGAGATAAACACTGCTATTGGTAAGTATCTCTTTTACTACTGTCGCCATTTTGGATTTATTGAAAAGGGTTCTCGTAATATATTTGATAGTTATCGGCAATATTTTTTTCATATCAACTAAATACTCTGTCTCTAGCCATTGATTAATTCGTAACTCTTGACCTGGTCTTCATGTTTTTATGTAGCTGAACTGACTGGTGGTTTCCTTAAGAAAGACTGGATCAAGAGAAACGGGGAAAAGGAGAGCRGCCCCAAGTACAACGAAGCTTTGCAATATCTATTGAGGTATCCATATCAATATGCTGGCTGTTTTGTTAACTATTTTGAAGGGAAGCAAATGGATATGACGTAATAACACCGTCTGCATGACCAACCTTAGTGATTGCCTTACATAAACAGTACACCAACATATATCGATGTCTCTGTGTTGTATTTTGAAGGTTTTACCTATCATTCTCCGAGGATCCTATGCCTTCACTTGAGGAGATCTCAGCCGGAGCATTTACAGAACTCATCAATGAGGAGAACGATGGTGTGTCGACGTCATATCCGACGTTAACAAGGTATGCTGCATACACGTGACACCATCTATCTTACCATCTATCCTACATCGCATCTCCTACCATCTATCCTACAATCTTCAGACTGTTTTCCCCCCTTCAGTATATTAAGTTGAATTATATTCAGTAAATTATGTTGTATATTGAGTTGTATTTGACTCGTATCGTTATGCAAATGATGGCGATATTGGGCCTTTTACTGGTCATGGAAACCGTGCCAGTATCCGTCCTCGTACTTGGCTCTCGATCATTTGTGCACATTTAGTCACTCGGTACTCCAATAGTTGTTCTAATATAGGACATATTTCTATGAGTTTGAAAAAATGTTTTAAAGTGCCTTTTCGTCACGCGACCGCATTATGCTTGTATTTAAACAAGTTTTTTTTATTGTTCTTGTTATTTTTTTTTTTATTTTCATTTTTTTCCATTTTATTTTTATTTTGTTTTTCTTTCTCCTTGTTTTCCTGTTTTAATTCTTATTTTTTTCTTCTTCTTCTTTGCTGTTTTAGGGCAACAGTACCATCATTCTATCGTGGAATTCTTGAAGAGTTAATATCATATCTTAAGCTGACACAAAGTACACCCATTAAACGAACGGACATGGACCAGGTACGTACATTGAGATATCTGGAGAGGTAACCTTTTATTTTATTTTCGAATGATGTGACCTGGACAGACTTCAAATTAGAATATAGTAGTTAACTATATTAATAATAACATTAACAATGCCCTGATTACAACTAATGTCTTTGAGGGTTCTAGTATTCGACCTATAAAAAAAATGGAAATCTAGCTCTCCCATAGTGACCTCTCAGTTATAAGTAATGAAATTTTCCTTGATTTACGATTACAAGTAATTTTTTGGAGGGTTCATGTATGCGATGTGAAAAAATATATGAAACTTTAGTTTTCCCATCGTGACCTCGATTATAAGTAATGACTTTTCCCTTGATTTATGATTACAACTAATTTCTTGGAGAGTTCTTGTATTCGACATGAAAAACATTTATGAAACTTTAGCTCTCCCATAGTGACCTCTAGATTACAAGCAAGTAATGAAATTATTCTTTGGTGTGTTTTAAGGCAAAACAAAGATTAACGCAGCTGAACATAATCGTCCGAGAGTTCCATATCATCATCAATCTAGTGAAGGTTAGAAAACT